GCATTTTTTTAATATTTCAGGCTGTCACTGAAGAGGTCCATAAGAAAACAACAGTTAAACAGACCACAACTACAAAAACAGAATATCGCTGTGTTCAGTTACAGAATATCCCTATCCCATCTGTCAAAGGAAAGGTTACAGGTTAGCATCATTTTATAACATATTTAAGTCTTAATATAGAACTTCAGTTTCACTCCAGAATTAAATTCTCTAACATCAGGTTGATTATAAATCATTCAGGATGTTTATATTTTAAAATTTTAATTTACAGTTAAATTAATATTTAAAAAAACTTCATAAATAACTATTTATACAATATATGAATCATGATTTTTTTCTATTATTTTTAATTAGCTGAAGTCATCATGCCATCTGGAAAACAAGATAAGCCTGTTGTTGTTGATAATAAAGATGGTACGGTTAGTGTGAAGTATGATCCAAAAGAAGAAGGTCTTCATGAATTGCATGTTAAATATAATAATGAACATATTCAGGGTAAATAATTGCCATTCATTTTTCAATAAAAGTAAATTTGCTACTTTTTTAAAATACCTTAATTTTCAAATTTCAGGTAGTCCATTTAAATTCCATGTTGATACTATAACTAGTGGTTATGTAACTGCTTATGGTCCTGGTTTAACACATGGTATTGCTGGTGAATCATGCAATTTTACCATCTACACAAAGGAAGCTGGTGCAGGTAATGATTAATTTACTTAAATATTAATGTCAGATCCACATTATATTTATATGCATATATACAAACAATATTTAAAATATCAAATTATTAAGTAACTATCAATTTATATTAAACACGTTAGAAAAGTAAAGGAAATATCTTATTGAAGAAATCAGAACTGTATTTTTGATATGTAGATCTCAGCAGTTTAAATGGCTTTTATTACATACATATAACTATAACATTTAGAAATACTAAAGCATTTACGTCGATTTAAAGTAATGTTTTCCAACTATTTTTAGTTGATAATTTATTACTTTATCAGGAAATCATGACATTATCCAGGAACAGATTTTACATCCTCCAGAGAATCAAAATCTATTGGTTGAAAAACACTGACTAAGACTACAAAATATTTATAGAACCAGAATTAATGTATTTTTTGAAAGTACTGAAGTCATTTTTAAATTTGTTATATAACATAAGGAAGGTTGTTTGAATTTTTCCATTATTCATTTGAAGTAAAAATTTTAGTATAAAAATATTTTCTATCAAGATATTTAGAAATATGTATTACTTTTTACATTAAATAATTTTAAATCTTATTTTTATTTTTGAATATTATTATTTTGAACTCCAATAAGAATTATTTACTTGTGATTTGTTGTTTAATTCATCTAGAAATAGCCTTAGACTAATTGCCAAATTTTTCCCACATTTGAATGGAGGTGTATAGTTGAGTCAGTTGTTATGGAATCAACTACACAAGCCTTCATTTTAAATAAAAGATAAATTTAACTCAAACGATCATTTAAATGAATGCTATTTTTAAAATTTTACAGTAATCAACCCGAATTTTTTATTTTATGAAATTTTAAAGGGCAAAATATTAATTAAAATGGCAAAAATGGAATATTTATATAATAGTTATCCATGTTAATATAAGTTAGTGGAATATATTTAACCAAATTGTCAGCAGTTTTAGATTTCAATATTGTATTTTAAAAGATATCAATATTTGTGCTTACCGTGTTCATACAATGGTGGATCTATACAATGGTTAATATGGCTTGAGCCTAGGATCCCAAGACATAATACAAAGTGTATACTTGTGTTATGCAAACAATACAATACAAATGTAAGAATTTCTTGTTAAAATGTAAAAAATAATTCTAATGTTGTTATTGGCTATATTATACCTACTTAATTATTTTACTTAGTTAACTTTTGCTTAATGCTTGTAATACTTAATAGCATTAATAAAATTTTAACAGTTAATAATGATTAATAAAATGTTTCTTTCTATATAATACGTCTCTGTAATCCAAAAAAATATGGTAGACGGACTCACAGCCAATTTTCAGTTAGGAACTACACTTTTATTTTAAAAAATGACAAATGCGTTTCAGGTTGGTACAAACATCCAACCCCTCTTCAGTGCTAATTTTTTAAAAAACAATAAAAAACAAAAATAGTTAGTACATGACATCAAATACACAACAAAAAATTTTCTTGCGTACTTACTCTTAAAAATAAAAATTGTGTATGGTCCACCAACACATCTATAACACCCACACCTGTTTTTCATCTATACATCTTAGAATTATCGTACAAGCTTAAAGAGCACTTGAAGTGTTTAATACTTCCGCATAACATCACTTCTAAAAACAAATTATTTTATGACTATTTTGTAGAATTAATAAAGGTGTACAAAAACAATATATTACTGTTATTAATATATTACTTACTTTTTATTTTTAAGAGTAAGTACGTAAGAAAATTTTTTGTTGTGTATTTGATGTCATGTACTATTTTTGTTTTTTATTGTTTTTTAAAAAATTAGCACTGAGGAGGGGTTGGATGTTTGTACTAACCTGAAATGCATTTGTCATTTTTTAAAATAAAAGTGTAGTTCCTAACTGAAAATTGGCTGTGAGTCCGTCTACCATATTTTTTTGGATTACAGAGACTTATTATATAGAAAGATCTAACATACAGCAATCCAGTTATATAGTAATAAAATCTTGCTTCATTGTAAAATAAATTTTTTAAAAACGTATTTAAAAATTTTTAAAAAGTGTCTAAAGAAATTTCAAGTCCAACCAGAAAGTTAGATCTGCTCCTTTCTATACAGACTTTTTTTTTTTTTATTAAATTATACATTTAATTAAAAGAATTTACTGATTGACTTTAGTAGTTTTTAAACAGTATTTATTATATAAATTGTTTAATTTATTCATAAAAATATATTTCTAAAACTTTGGCAAATTTTATGCAATTAGAAATTTGTTTAATAATGTAATTTTAAAACTGATAATTATTAAGTGCTTTGAGTAATAATTTNAAGAAAATATATCTTATATATTTGTTAAAATATATCTGTTGAGTTTTATTTTTGAAAGAGAGAATTAAATTTATAAAATATGGAAATATGCTAAAATTAGAATATTGACCAATTGCATCATCAATCTTAGATTACAACTCTTAACGACTAAATAATCATTAATCTTTATTATTTGTTTATTAAATGAACAGAAAATGGATTGTCTTAACTACACTGAATTGAAAATACAGTTGAAAGTATTGTGTGCAGCTGGCAGCATGATTCAAATGCACATGTCCAAAGAATGACCTGTTTAATAATGTATTTATGTGACAGGTTAAATTATCAACATACTACATTGAAATTAAAAATAATGGTGTGGACACAAGTTTTTGCTGGATATAGTGCATGTAATTAAGTTTAAATACAAAAATAATTATGAAGTTTTTTTGCCAATAATAGAGGTGGTTCTTGGCTTTCAGAAAGTTACTCTTTTGTACATAACATTTTAATATTTCTAATTTGCTTTTTATACATTTTCAGTGGCATTTAATTTATATTTTTCACCTTTCATAAATCAAATCATTTGTTTTTTTTAAATAAATTTTTGTAAACTTAAGAAAAATCATTGTTAAATAAGAAGTGGTAATACACAATTATTATTTAATGTCTGCTTATTAATAACAATTGTTTATCTGCAGAGTATTAAATTGCACTAACATCATAAATAATTTGTGAAAATTAATTTTTTTTCTGTTTTTCTGTAATCTGTTATTTTATTGTTTTAAGTGTTTCATTCATTGTAACATATTCATTGCAAACAATCAAAACTTCACTATCCAATAAGAGATTTTATAATTTTTCTTTTTAGTTCTTTGAGAATGGAATTCTCTTTATAATATGCAAAATTATCTTCACTTTCAGACATTGACTCTCAGACAATGCTTTCCTAAAAATATGCTTTAAATATTTCCCTGCTGGAAAATTTCTTGAAATATTAATATTGTCTTCTTGATTTCAATTTTATTTATTTTTTTAATGATTCATTATTTTTTGTAGGTGGTCTTTCAGTTGCAGTTGAAGGACCTTCTAAGGCAGAAATAAGTTGTAATGATAATAAGGATGGAACAGTTGGAGTTTCATATCTTCCAGTAGCTCCTGGAGAATATAAAATTATGGTGAAATTTGCAGATAAACATATTAAAGGAAGTCCTTTCACAGCTAAGATTACAGGTTTGTTTTATTTGTAGTTCATAAAATATTT